ATTGAAGATATAGAGACACAGACCAGGTTTTATAAACAAATGGAGTCGGTGAAGAAACGTCTGAACGAGTTTTCACTGGAGGCTCATGGTGAGAAAACTACTCCTGGTACTACTAACACTACTGAATACACACTGCACAGCTCCTCCTACAGCTGTCAACACTGGTACTACTAACTACTACATGTTACTGCAGTAGTTAGTAGTTCCTGAAGAGCTGATGGATCAGCTGATCAATGGTCATGTTGCAGATCTGTATCTGAGCTCATCAGTTCCGTACCTGGAGCAGCCACCTGATCCGCTGCACTTCTACCGCGACTGGATTGGTCCAAACAAACCCTGCATCATCCGCAACGCCTTCAGCCATTGGCCGGCTCTGTCCAGGTGGACGCCAGAGTACCTGAGGTGAGGAAGCCCCGCCCACTGATACCTTGACTTTTCTTCTTCTGTGGTCAAAATGATTTCATTTTGTTTCCTGTCTGCAGGGAGAAGGTGGGGTCAAAGGTCATCAGTGTGGCAGTGACTCCGAACGGTTACGCAGATGCAGTGAGCGGTGATCGATTCGTGATGCCTGAAGAGAGACAGATGACCTTCTCTTCTGTTCTCAATGTCATCGAGGGGAAGGTGAGAAACTGCACCCTGCAGGACAGGTGAGATACTGCAGGAGACATCGAGGACACACCGCAGCGGAGACTTCCCGCGGAGATGTTCACATCCCCTCAGTGAGCTGGTGGATGAGTACTGACTGTTGTGTCCTGTAGGGGGAGCTCTCTGGTGTGTTTTACGTTCAGAAGCAGTGCTCTAACCTGCTGGAGGAGCTGCCGGAGCTCACAGACGACGTGGAGCCTCATGTTCCCTGGATGAGCGCCGCGCTTGGTGAGTTCTCAGCACTCAGACGGCGCCACACCTGCTCTGTTGATCCACAGAAAACGACACCAGAAGAATTCTAAAAATAAGAATGAAGATAACACATTCTCTTGAACATGATTTGACAAACACGTATCAGAAGCAACATTTAAAGAAATTACTGAAAAAGAAAATTTGAGATATAACTACTGAAATATTTCATGGTTCCAGAAGAAGTGATGTATTTAACTTTTTGTAGGAGTTTCTGTCGAGGGTTTCAATGAATTTAAAGAGAAAATCATCAGTGAGTAATGTCAGTAATGAAATAAGACACTGTTCAGATACATATGGAGCTGGAACAGAACTTTCAAATGACCAAACTCACAGAGTGAGACACGTCAAAGTTCAGTTTAATCAGCAGGAGACTTCAGCTTTCAAAAATGTGGCTTAAGTGTGATAATTGGACAATAGTGCATTGAGGCTTATGATTCTGAGTTCAGCTCAATCAGTTTAAAGATATTGAAGGAGTCAGTTTAACGTCGGTGTGGTTCCTGTAGGATCGAACTGAGGCTCGGTTCAGGTTTATCTGTGAATGTTCACGTCGTTCAGGTGGATGTGAAGTTGTAAAATGAATAAATTCTTTGCTGCTGCTGCTGGTGGCCACGAGGAAACTTACAACAACACTTCCTATTAAAATACAACTTTCAGTGAATGTGGAACCGGATCACTGGGATCGTTTTTGTGTTATTGTACGATCACTTCTTAGGAATATAACAGTGCTCCATCGTAGTTATGGGTTTAATTCTTGATTCCTTAAATGTTCTGCTCAGTTTCTGTGACGTCTGCGTGTGCACCTGCAGTCTCAGTGTTTTAAGACAATGGCAGTCGTCATCATAAGAACGTTTCAGAACAGTTTTCATAGGAACTTGGTTCAGAGCAAACTGAATAATAAAAACATACGCAGATATCGGTGAACGAAGCCTCATGAGTTTACTGATATATGTTTTTTTTATTTTTTTTTAGGAAAGTTACCTGACGCTGTTAATTTCTGGCTCGGAGAAGCGAGCGCCGTCACCTCCAGTGAGCATTGAACTGTACACGACACACCAGCCACACACAGTGTGTTGAAAATGGACAAACTGTGTGTTGTTTCTGTCTTAGTGCACAAAGATCACTATGAGAATCTTTACTGTGTGATTTCTGGAGAGAAAAACTTCATCCTGCTGCCGCCCACAGACCGACCCTTCATCCCTTACGGTAACCATAGCAACCACCCTGCATCCTGTTTGGTAACCATAGCGACCTTTCACGAGCAGTGAACAAGCTGCATCCTCCACGGGGAGTCAGTAACCATAGTAACAGTCTCTCTGCACGTCAGGTGTGTATCAGCCGGCCGTTTATCGCCAGCGGGACGACGGCGAGTTTGAAGTCATCGATCGGAGCGACTCTGAGAAGGTGCGTTCAGGGATCTGTCTGTTATTGTCAGCTCTCTGTTCCATTTAAAAAAACCTACTTCCTCCTCAGGTCCCATGGATCCCACTGGACCCTCTACACCCGGACCTGGAGCGGTACCCACAGTACCGGAGAGCTCATCCGGTCCACTGCAGCGTGAAGGCTGGAGAGATGCTGTATCTGCCATCGCTGTGGTTCCACCACGTCCGGCAGTCACATGGCTGCACCGCAGGTAAAAACACCTGAACACAACAGGTGACCTCACACAGTCCCGCCCCCTGTGACGTGATGTCTGCTCAGTAAAGTAAACTCACGGACGCGTCGATAACTGGACACCGTGATATTATTGTGATGATGTTCCTGCGACTCAAAGTTCACATTTAATCAGTTTGAATCTGTGTTTTGTATTTTCTCTGCTGCAGTGAACTTCTGGTACGACATGGAGTACGACATCAAGTACAACTACTTCCAGCTGCTGGAGACGCTGTGTGAGGTCACAGGGACGTGACATCACAACAGCTGCATGATGTCACAGTGATGACGACACTGGCTTAGTGTCAAAATGAAACGTGAGCTGGTTGTCGTGAAGCAGCTGATTGATGATTAAAATTGCGACATCAAACTGCATGACTGGTTATTGTGACTCTCAGCTGACGTTTCACCTTGTGGACAGGTGTGGAGCCAGTATTGGCCCCGCCTCCCACTCAGAACATGAGCGGTGCCTCATAAAGGTCACCACCGCTGCTGCTAATCACGGTAACAATACATTTAAGCACTTTTCTTAACGTTACAGAATAAGATAATGGAACATGACATGAGTGTCATCTTCATGGAAATGGTTAAATACATCCTGACTTTGAATCAATGAATATAGAAAACAGAGGGGGGCCTAGGGAAGAGCCCTGAGGGACACCACATCTCAGCTGAGCTGTTCAGGAAGTGGAGTTGAACTAGTGACTGAGAAAGTTCTGTTGAGCTCCTCTGGTCAAAAATCTACCAACCCTCTCTAACATCTGTAGTTGGACTGGGCTCGATCTGGATTCACTCCCGGATCACATGACTCTGCAGCAGACAAGTTTTTGATCGGCTCTGAATGAACGAGCCATTTGCTTCTTCTTCATTTTGGCAGTCCAGATGTTGACTGAGAAAGTTGGAGGAAGGTCGTAAGTTTTAAGAGGTGCTGTAAATAGGAGATCTTTCAGAAACACTATTCATCATCATCATATCGCACCAGTGCCATGTCCATTTGTTGTTTGTCTCCTTCAGGTCTCAGAGTCAATGGGACCCAGTGGGCCCCCACAGAGAAAGTGGTCCATGGCGTTTCAGACCATTAATGTTGCCTCCCCACTTTCGTAGGTTGTCCCTGGTTTTGCTGCAACTTTGGCTCTTGCTCTGTTTAGTGTTGCTCAGTCCTGTTCCACTGGGTCTGTGTTCATTTGTAGACCAGCGGTCATGTGACGCTTCAAATTATTATT